TCTGGAATCCGAGTCTAATCACTGCAGGACGCCTGTGGAGTGGCCTGCTGGCCTCGGGCAGCCCCCAGGGCATCTGACCAAGTGGTGGGTCTGTCTGTCCTGCCACCCTGCTGGGGTGGCCTTGGTGAGAAGAAGGAGCCCCCTGCCTCCCATCTCTGGTTCCTGCACTGAGACCGGCTTTTGCAGGACACAGACAGCCAGCCGGGAAAATGCCACCAGTGCCCCCTTCCCAAATTAAAGAAGTGTCCTCAGTTTCTCTGAGGGTGTGGACAGCCGTGGGGGCCGGTGAGGTCATGAAGCCAGTGGCAGGTTTACTGAGCTTCTGGTAGGACTGATCCTCGGAGACGCGGAGGACGGCTGCTGGCACAGCCCCGGGCCAGGCTTCCATCTCCTGCCTCTTTCGGCTTTGGCATTCGAGGAGCACCAGGCGCTCTGCTGTTGCACAGGAGGAATGTTCTGCATTCTCATGTTGCCTTGGCACAGGGAGGACCCCTCCCAAGTTCTGTTCTGTTGATCGCAATGCTTGGCTTTCCACAGCTGTCAGAGGCTCGAGTCATGAGACACAGATTGTTCTGTTCTCTTGGATTTTAGGGTAGCTTTCTTCTTTTATTGATGGCTGAGTCTTTGCAAAAAAAAAAAAATCATTTATTGTACATACGGGGACTTCCACTTAGCTAGAATTAATGCAAGTGCCTGGTTTCTCCCCCATGACATGCTGATTGAGTAAAAATGCCACAGTGTTTTTTGAAAAATGCAGCTTTCTCATGTTACAGGGGTGGGAGCTAAAACCCAGGAGCCCTAATAATGGAAGAAGAAAGCATTAATTGGAAGTCCATCATTTCATGAACAGTGCAGAATCAGAGAATGTCGGATTCAGAGGTGTCCTAGAGACCATCTAATCCAACTCCTGGCCTACCAGACGTGCCCACTTAACCCATTGTGTTACTAACAGTTGTGTGTTGATTGTGTTTATTTTTATGAACTCCCCCAGAGGGTGGTGGTCCCTGAGTTTCTACCCAAGGCATGGCATGCTAAGTGGTCACCACAGTAAGTGATGGGAGAAGTCCAGGGGAAAAGACCTGCAGGGCAGAGCCTTGCAGATGTATGCATGAGGGCACGGCCAACAGCTGAGCAAGCTGTCACAGTGACTGCTGGGGCTTCCCCTGGGGGTCTGCAGGCCGCTGAGAGCACGTGGGCAAGGGTATAGATGAGCCGGCCTTGAACGCCAGAATCAAGTGTTATGCCCTATTTTTATGTATCGAGGGGCCTCTGATGTATCTTGAGGTTCCATGGCCTCTTCTCCGTTGCTTCTGCTGCTGCCCTGACCCAAGTTCTTCTCATTTCTCACCTGGGAGGTCTTGATAACCTAGCTCATCTCCCTGCCTGTATTCTTGTCCCTGCCCAGCCACATTCCACAAAGGCCCCCTACCTACCCAGGGGCTTTCTAAACTGCAAGTCTGATCATGTCCCTCCCCCTTCAAAGGCTCTTGAGCCAAACCATTGAGCCACCCAGGCATCCCAGTTTATATCAATTGTGATTTGAGCCACCCAGGCATCTGTTGCCTGTTGCCCAGAGGACAAGATCCTGGCTTAGGTGTTCTGTGTGGCCAGCACCACCTTGTCCTACAGCCTCACCCCCACTGTGCCTCTGACCTCACCAGACCCCCTGGTTTCCCCAGCCACCATGCCATGGAACTATTCACTGCCTTTGCCCAGCCTTTTCCTTCCTTCCCACTTGCTTTCTCTGACTGACAAACTCCTATTCATCCTTCGAAACCCAGTGTAAATTTCACTTTGGAGAAGCTTTTGCTGACCCTCATGAGACCACATGATGTCTTGAATCTGTTTCTGTTTTGAAGCTCACGTCGTGTTGCAATGATCTACTTCCAAGATACTGGCGATTCCCACTTTTGAGTGTGTGTTATGTGATGCGTGCTAGGCTGAGCCCCGGGCATGCATTAACCTGCCACAGTAGCCACACGAGGTGCATTCTGTTACAGCCCCACTCATAGATGAGGAAGCTGAGATGCAGAGAAGGGGAGTGACATGCCCAGGGCATGCACTGGGAGGGCGACAGGCTTAGATCTGAGCCGAGACCTGTTTGACTCTATTCTTGCATCCTTCTGGATCCTGTTGCCTGGATCCTGCTGTGTCCCCTGGACCCTATTGCAGGCCTTGTGGGGACTGATCAAAGGGAGCGTGCAGCGGAGCTGTCCTGGTGTGGGCAGGATGGGGAAGTGGAGGGACACTGGAGTGCGGGGCTGGCTTTCCTCTGGTGTTGAGGTGACAGGAGACTCTCAGCCCAGCTCCCCATGGTGAAGGGTTTCCTTCCACCTTCCATTCTGGCTGCCTGGGCAAAGGGCTGTGGGACTCCAGGGGAGAAGGCAGGTGGCATAGTGACATAGACTATGGCAACCGGTCTCCTCTCTGGGGCCCGGAGAGGGAGGGAGGACTTGAGAGGGCACACCCAGGCTTCTGAGTAGGATCCTGGAGAGGTGGCTCCCTTTGAGCCTGGGTGGCTTCTGTCCTCCCCTGAGGGACCCCCACCTGCAAGGTCCTGTCCCAGTAGGGGAAATGCCACTTCCGCCTCTGTCCTGGATGAATGGCTGGCTCTGGCCTCCCAGGAGACCATTGGGTCCATCCAGGTACAAATGCTGTCCCCTTCTCAGCCCCTGGGCCAGGGAGGAAGGAAGAGGGAGTGCAAGAGGAGGGAGGTGTGGGGTTGCCAAGAGAGGTAGGAGCAGGGACAGCTGAGACAAAGCCCTCATTGTACTGAGGCCACACTCAGCTCCAAGGCAAACCAGGCATCTTGCCTGCCTCCCCGGACACAGGCCCGGGACTCCACCTGGACTTCCTAGCTCCTTAACAACCCTTATCCGAGCTGGCTTGGAAGAGTGAGGCCTGTCCTCGGACCTGAGCCCTCCTGACTCTGCTGGAAAGTCCTCCTGAAGGCACTACCTCCTCAGTGCATCCTCCCAAAAGCAAGAAGGGAAGGGGTGAGGCTGCCAGGGAAGTTAGGCCGCCTGGGACTAGAAGCCAGGGTCTGTCTGGCCCTGCAGCTCTGCCACCTTAGGCCCAAGTATGATAACAGATCGCCCTTCTGTACCCCCTGGGCTGTGCGCAGGAAGAATGGAGCCCTTGGCAACCTCCCTGACAACTATGGGGAGCACTCTTGTCCCACGGTGCCTCCTCCTGAGGCCAACCCCACAGTGCCAGGAGGCCTTGCCTAGACGATGGGGGCACGATGTGGGAGGGTGGGGGACACATCCCTGAGCTGAGGCGAGCAGCTCAGGTGACAGGCACAGTGTCGGCAGCTCCTGCGCCCGGCATCTGACACCTCCGGGCAGACAATGCTGGCTGTGTCTGGGCCCGCCAGGGGAACAGGCTACACTCTGTGTCACAGCCAGGAAACAGGCCACCTGAGCAGTGCCTTTGTCCCCTCAGGAGGCAGCCCCACCACCCAGCAGGATGAGCCGACTCCCCGAGGCCCTAACACGAGAAGGGGTGGTGCCCAGCCGGGGGACCCCAGAGTTTGAGATCCAGCCCCTGGGCTTCTGGTGTTGGCCTGGTTCTCCTGTTGGCCCTGCCACACCCTGGGGGTGTGACGGGGGTGAGTCCCTCCCTCTGGGAGGCTCAGATCCCTTGTCTGTAAGGGCACTAATCACAGCACTTCCTCATAGGGTTTTTGGGAGGAGTCAATGGCACACTGTACGTAGTAATGTGCTTGGCCTGGGGCGTGCGCACAGTGGGGCGTGGTGAACGCTTCTCTCCAGCATGGGAGAGGTCAGGGCACGGTATCCCTGGCCAGGTCTCCAGTAACCCAGGCTGCTATCCTCAGCCCCTGCCGTGAGCATGGAAGGAGGGAACAGGGGTCTCTGGAGCTGGCACACAACTAGTGGCTGCAAAGAGCCCGGGCCCCTCGTCTCAGACTCCAGGCGCTCTGGTACAGTGCCCGGTGCGGGACTCCTTCCTGCAACAGCTGACACCCAGCCCACCATGGGGCTTCTCCCCTCCTTTAACCCCTGTAGGGCTGCCTGTGGAACCTAAGCCTCTACCCGCCTGTCAAGAGTGCCAAGGATGGGTCTCTGTAGGCCTGGTCACTTCCTACTAGTTCCAGCCCACCAAGAGTCCCCAGACAGAGGAGGGCTTCTGTACCCATTACCCCCTTCCTCATCTGCTTTGAGCCCATGCTCTGAGGTCCTGCTGCATGCCCCAGTCAGCATGCATGTTTGCATGGGTGGATGCAGGCATGGCTGTGTGCAGCATGCATGCGGGAGGGCCTGGCTGCATGTCCTGCATCATGGGAAGGCCCCAAGCATGTTCATGGAGATGTGTGTGGCATGTCTTGGAATGGCAGAGACATAGTACCTTTTCACATTCGTGTGTATCCATATGTCTTTCTACACGTGTGCTGGTATGTCGGTCTGTCTTGTCTCCACTATAGACAGGAAGCCCCCAAGCCACATGCCAACGGGCGCTCTGGGAAGGTGACGTCGAGACTAGCCCAGCCTCACTTGGGGTTCCTGGTCCTGCTCCAGGAGTCCTCCAACCAGAAGCCCCCGCCGAGGAGGGAGGACTGTCCAGCGCAGGGTGGGGTCCGAGTAAGGGATCGGAGGGCCTGGCCTGTAGCGTAGAGGACTCAGTGCTGCACTGGGGGTCAGGAGGCCCTGCCTCGATGCCCATGTGACCTTGGGTGAGGCCCTTGAGATCTTGCTGCACATTCAATCATCTGGAGAACACGGGGTCGGATCTATGATTTCTGGCTGCCCCTGAGGCTCTGACGATCGATCAAGGTCTTAAGTCAGGTGGCAAGAGTGTGCTAACTTCGTTGGTGGAGGCAGCTGCAGCTAGCGCCCGGCCTACCAGGCCCTCGCTCGGTCCTGGGGTGTTCTGCCAGAGGGTGAGAGGAGGAGCCATGCCAGGCAGCGGCCCCAACGAGAGGATGACGTGGCCTGGTCCGGCCCTCCCCGCGGCACCCCCAACGCGCCCTCTCTCCTCAGCCCCGGGGACACCACCCATCCCGCCCCTCACCCGGACCCGCAGCCTCATGGCCATGTCCCTGCCGGGCAGTAGACGGGCCTCTGCTGGATCCCGCAGGTGAGTGCCCCCCTTGGCCTCGGAGGGCGGGAAGGGGGAGGGCCTCCGTTCCCCCCTCTGCCACCAACATGCAGTGTAGCCTTGAGCAAGTCATTTCCCAGTTTTCCCAGCTCTAGAACAGGCTTGCTAACACTCACCTCCTGCTGAGGCTCAAATGACACAGTGGATAGAAAGGTTCTCTGAAGCATTAAAACCTTGGGGGTCCCACCATCCTCAGTATTGCTGCTGAGCTTCACAGTGACTAGAAGGACTCATGCTGTCATCCACTCTGGCTCACTTGGCCCCCCTGACTCCGACCTGCGTGTGCCCCCCTCCTGTCCCCACCCCTGCCTGCCCCCTCTGCCCCAGCTGTGTCAGCCCTTGCAGGGCCCTCCTCTGGGCTCAGGGGGACCCTGGAACCCTGGAAGCTGAGGAACCCTGGCTAGGGCAGATGGGACCCCACCCTTAGCCCTGCCCAGCCTCCATGCCCATCCTGGGGAGCCAGGAGGACCAGCCTCCTCCTGGTTTTCCATCTTGATTTGCGCTGTCTGTTTTGTCACCCCTGTGTGTGCGTCCCCTCTCTCCTCTGCTTCTCTCCCCCGGCCGTGACCCCGCAGCGGGGGCCCTTTGGGCCGCAGCGGCCTGGCGGTGTTCGCCCAGTGCCCGCAGCTGCCCGCCAGCCAGAACGAGCACCTGCCTCTTCTTCCTGCCTCCAGGCGCACCTCTCCGCCCGTGAGCGTGCGGGACGCCTACGGCACCTCCTCTCTCAGCAGCAGCAGCAACTCCGGCTCCTGCAAGGGCAGCGACAGCAGCCCCACACCCAGGTAACCCCCCTGCGCACCTGCACACCGCACCCCCACGAGTGGGGACCGGGACTCCTGCGCTCCTGGCTGCACGGGCTCCAGCTGGTCCTTCAGAGCCTCAGGTCCTGTGTGAAGGGGAGGGTAGCGCCCTGTTGCCCGTAACCAAGGCAGGGGCTTAGACAAGCAAGGGGGATGCTTTCAGAACTAGGCCCAGCGGCAGGCAGCTCCCTGAAGTGTTGGGGACCCCAGCCCATCTTCCTGCTCCACCATCCTTAGGGCACAGCTTTTGTCCTCACCCTTAAAAGAGGCTCTGACACCGCCAGGCGTCAGGTCAGCATCGGGGCAGGGAAGGAGGAAGGTAGAAAGGCCACCCCTCTGCTACTACAAGAGACTCCTGTTTTCCTTTTTTTTTTTTTTTTTAAGATTTTATTTATTTATTCATGAGACAGAGCAAGGCAGAGACACAGGCAGAGGGAGAAGCAGGCTCCGTGCAGGGAGCCCCATGCGGGACTTGATCCCAGGACCCTGGGATCACAACCTGAGCTGAAAGCAGACGCTCAACTGCTGAGCCATCCAGGCGTCCTGAGGCTCCTGTTTTCTGGGAAGGGTGACCTTCCCCAGGAACTCTGTCTACACGCTGCCAGCTGGCACTGGGTGATGTGATTGGCTGTGGCTGTGGGGTCGGTGGCACAAGGAGCACCACATTGTCCCTGGTATGGTACCAGCCCTCACAGAATTGGAGTTCTCTTGGGGAAGGAGCAAGGATGGATATATGGGCAGGCCACTCGGCATCTGTGGCCCTGCTTTCCTCAGGCACCACCTGGACAGTGACAGAGGTGCAGCTGGTTTGGAAAGCAGAGTGCATTACAATGTGGCACGTGCTATGTTGTGGGGCTCAGGGAAGGAAGAACGGAAAAGCAGGATCTGCTGGGGAGGCAGGTGAAGGGAAGCTGAGCATTCTCTAAAACCAGGGGGTGACAGCTCCAGCGGCCCATCCTGATTCCCCAGTGGAGCCAGGGAGCGAAGGCTGGGCAGCCATATTTCCCGTCCCTTGAATCTCCCTTCCCGTTGGGTGCCCAACGTCCCTCCAGCTTCAACGAATTGATGTCTGCAGGTGGCCTGTAACTGGTAGCTGCCATCATGAGGCCTTTGGTCCCATGTGAGAGTCCTGGGCCACCACAGTTGACCTGCAGCTCCTGCAGCCAGAGCACCTCATGGGAAGGCTGGTCCTGCTCTTCCAGCAGACATGGTGTCATGGGTGTGAAGTGATGTTCAGATCACGCTGAGGCGGCACTTCTCAGAGTTTCCCACTGTGACACATGTGATGGGTGACACATGTGTGCAGGACCCATGGCCCAGCCTCCTGGCCGTCACTCCACTCTGAGCGCAGGGGGCGAGAGTGGTACTACTGCGCTCAAATTTTGAAAAGTATACAATTGGCAACTTTAACATTTTTTCATTAGTAGCAGATTTTTGCCGTGCTTGTCATAACTGCAGCTCACTGGGACGGTCCCAGCCCTGAGGCTGAGAACTGGCCCCATGGGAGGATCTTCTGGCCACATCAATAGTGGCTGCCCTGGGCTGTGGCTTCAGTGCAAACTGGCATTCTGAGACGGGAATAGCAGAGAGCCATGGATTATAGAATATTCTTCTTTTCCAGTATATATACATATATACATATAAAATGGCTAACAGAATATATATACATAGGGTTTTATATATATGTATATATATATATATTCTGTGATATGAGTGATATTCATGAGTGATATATATACATATATATCAGTCATGAAAGCAAGTTGGAAGAGTGAGAACAGCTTTGTCTCTAATTCTCAACTGCACTAGTTTAATAGTTTAACCAGGGCCTGGGGGGGAGATCCACTCACTGCAGATCCGTGCCCCTCGAGCCCGAGTCCTGGCACGGCAGCCACCAGGATGGCTGCTCTTTCGGGAGGAGATTCTTAGAGCCCACTGAGGGGGCGTCCCCAGCTCCCGACCCACGCCACCCCTCTGCCCCCATCACCAGGAAAACAGGCCGGCGTGTGGTATGGCTTGAGTTTAACCTAGGGACCACGAGGTGAGTAAGCAGAAGAGAATCGTGTCCCTTTCTCTCCACTTCTATCCACACACATTCTCTTCAGTGGCTGACAGTTTACAAATTCTTTTTCCTCAGCAAACATTAGACGGCCCCCATGGAACCTTTCAAACTGCCTCCCTCGTGGCTGCTTCAGCAAACCAGGGCCTGTCTATTCAGACCTGTTGATGTCCTTGGCCCCGTCCCCTAGGGGAGCAGGGCTGGCTGGCCACGAGGCCTCTGCCAGGCTGCATGAGAACAAGCCCAGGCTTTGAGGCCAAGCTCTGAGGAGGCTTCCCAGAATGACCAGCAGGCAGGACGCTGTGGCCCGGCCACAGCATATCTGAGTTGGGTGCGAGGCCAGGCCCTCCCTCCTTCCCTCCCACCTTCCCTCCCTCCTCCTGCACTGGGTGGCAATTCCTCCTCTTGGCAGTGCTGAGCCTGGGTATGACACACACACACACACACACACACACACACACACACACACATGCCTGTGCCACCTCAGGCTGGGCAGCATGTGGCATCTGGCTTGCTGCCACCTCAGGGTTTAGCTATTGAGGACTAGATGCCCAGAGCCAGTGGGTGTTTACACGTGTGTTTGGGTGTGACCTCAGAGAATGTGTGTGGGGGGGTGGAAAGTGCGTGCATTTGTGTGAACCCGTGCGTGGACTGGTGTCCCAGGCCTTGTGAGTGTTCCCGAGGATGGCTGCAGGGTTGCGGGGCCATGTGCCCTTGGGTGTGTGCACGCAGAGGTGGACACGCAGGCGCAAGTGGGCCAGGGTAACTACTCAGATGTACGCACTCCAAGGAAACGTGTGTACATGATCTGCAGGCCTGCGTGTACATGAAGACGGCAAGGAGGGCACCGGAGTGTGTTGGAGAGAGCTGGGCCTACACTCCCGGCCCCCCGCCCCCACCCTGACTCCTGCAGGCCTGGCAGTGAAGGTTCTCAGCCTGGGGGGTGCGTTCTCCTACCTGGGGCGAGCCCTTACCCCCTCGCCAGCCCCGGAGAATTACACAGGGAAGTGCACCTGCCCCCAGGCTCTAGTGCCCAACTCATTCTCTGGGTTAGGAGACTGGACAACCTGAGTTCTGGGACCACCGCAGGAGTGAGATGACTGATGACATCAGTAGAGTGCCCCACACAGCTGGGTGCCAGGCTGTGGGTCCTGTGGTGCCCTGTGTCTGCACCCCTAACTAGAGGAGCCCTGAGCTTCCCACTGTGGTCTTCCCTTACAAGAGCTTTGATAAAACCTACCTGCCAAAAGGTCTGGGTGTTCTCATGCCCACACAGGCCCCAGGGGGAGGCCTAGCCTGGAGGCACCTGCTGGCTGTGGGACCAGGACGATGAGCCACCTCTTCCTCCCTTCCCACTGACACGTTTCCTTGCAGACGCTCCATGAAGTACACACTGTGCAGCGACAACCATGGCGTCAAGCCCCCCACCCCGGAGCAGTACCTGACCCCACTGCAGCAGAAGGAGGTGTGCATCCGGCACCTGAAGGCCCGGCTGAAGGACACACAGGACCGGCTCCAGGACCGGTGAGCCGCTGGCCCAGGGCAGCCCTGGAGAGATGCTCTCCACACTCAGAGGAGCACTTCTGGGAGGGAGGAATGGCTGAGGGCTTCCTGACACCCACCTGCCCTTTCCTTTCTGGCAAAGCCCTGTAGGAGCCCCTTTCTAGAGCCCTCAGCCATCCCCATTGTCCCCTCAGCTGCTCTTCTGGACTGCCACATGGGCTGCTTGGGCCCAGGCAGGGAGCAGCTTCCCCTGATGGCCCGCTGGTCCTCTCCCAGTCTGGGCCTGGTGGTCCCTTTTGGCTGCTTCTTGCCCTCTGGCTCCTTTCCACTTGAGGATCAGGAGCCCAGGGCATTCTTCCTGGCTTACCTTTCCTGTGAGTCCCCCTTTGCTTCCTCCCAGGGAGTCACCAGGGTGCTCTTGGCCCACTGGTTCAGGCCTCAGAGGCCTCTCTGCTCATCTACTTGCATATGATGTGTGTGAGCATGAAAAACCTTTCTTGAGCTCCTACCCAGCCTGGGGGTCCCTCAGGAGCCCCTACAGTCCCCTCTGAGCACATTCTCCAGACCTGGGGGCCAATCCTGACCCTCTCAGCTGCTAACTTTCTGGGCCACCGGCTTCATTCTTACGATCAAAGCTTCAGGTCTGCCCTTTGACTCTGTCATCTTCACTCTCTCCTCCAGACTGTGTCAGTTCAAACACGCAGCCGACTCTGAGCCACACCAGGCACTGTGCCAGGCACCAGAGGTCAGGGCAGGTTCCCACGACTATGGCATCTTTCCTCTTTTTTTAAAACTCTGCAGCTTTATTTGGCATGTAATTCACATCCCGTACAGTTCACCTCTCTGAAGCACACCCTTCAGCGATTTTTGGGATAGGCACAGAATCATGCAACCATCCCCAGTATCTAGTTCCAGAACATTTTCATCACCCCAGAAGGAAACACCGTTCCCAGTGGCAGTCATGGCCCAGGCCCCTGGTAACCACTGATCTTTCCATCTTCATGGATGTGTCTATTCTGGACATGGCATATAAATGGAAGCATACAATATGCATGAGCACGTCTTCCGTGACCAGAGTGCTGCCAAGTAGCCAATCCGGTATGGATCTGTTGTGGTTTTGAACTACGGGAAGTTACAGGTGGCATTCCGTGGGCCTCCTTCATAGTTGGGATTTCTGTTTTTAGAAAATAGTCCTGGGTCTGCCTGGCCATTTGTGCTTACGTCCTCAGGAAGCAGACAGCCCGTCTCCCCGCCTCCTGTCTGGGGCTGGCCCAGCGGCTCAAGCAGACCATCTGCCCCATGCGGTTTGGGCACAGTGCCCTGGCATGGACGTGCCTACACCTCAAATCCCTGGCCACTCTCTGCCTGTTAGTCTTGCGGGAACCTGTGGCAGCTCTTTGCTTGCTCTGTTGCTGTACCACACACGCTCCACATGTTCACTTTGATACTTGCCTCCTGCAGTAACCTCCCTGCTCCTTAAAGAAGCTACTACACTCCATGCTTTTGTTTGCTGTGTCCCTACTTCCTGAGATGGCCTTGCCCCCATCCTGCTTCGCTGGCAAACTCATCCTTCAGGGCTCAGTTCCAGTGTGATGTCCTAGACGGGGTGGGAAAGGCATGGCTTCCTGGCCTGGGGGTCCCGCTGGCTCCAAGGAGAGAAGGGCGGGGCCCAGCCACAAGCCCAGTCCCTTCCTCCAAACTCGTTCTCCCTCCCAGGGCTTGGTATCCACGGGGAAGATTTCTCTAGAGTGAACCCCAGTAAGGGTCTCATGCGTGGGGGTCCATCTGCCGTTGCCACTCTGAGTCACTCCAGTCCCTGCTACCATCACAAGGTTGTGTCCTGGGGGGCAGTCCAGTCCACCCCTTTCCAGATAATGCCCTGGCTGACCTTTCTGGCCACTGCAGCCCCTCAGCCCAGACCCTTCGACATTGCAGAGCACACTTTCAGCCTCATTTCCTGCACCGGCCATCCCATCTGCTCTGAAAAGAGCCGAGTGCTTGATCTGGGATGGTCCCTCTGCTGGGCTCATCACCCTCACAGTGATGGTCAAGCCCTGCATGGATTGCATTTCCTTGAATGTGGGGCACGTGGGCCATCTGGCTGGGGGTAGGTAGTGGTGTTGGGGTGGCTGGCCCCCGCCCCCTGCACCACCCCGCAGGACGTGCTGGCTCAGGAGTGGCTTTCCTCCACCCTCACTGCCCTCATCATAGCCTGCCCTGTCTCCTGCTGCCTTCTCCGCCAGACTTGATAGAATGTTCTTTTAATGCACCTCCCTCCCCCACACCCCGATTTGTCTGTGACTCAGGGTGCCTGTGTCTGGTTTGCCTGGCACTGGCCTTTTCTCTCAGAAGCAGCCTGGGCCTTCTTGTCCAACTTTTTGGCCCATCGTCTTCACAGTAGATACAAAGCAAGGATGATCAGTGTAGATAGAAAAGAGCCACCTGTTTTCACCATTTTCTTGTATTGCACCCACCACCTTTCATCCCTGCACTGAGGGGACATGTGAAGCCCACAGCTCCCCCCACATGACAGCAATAAGTTCCTCAGCAAAGTGGGGCAGCCCACCGCCTCTACCCCCAGGGGCTCTGGCCAGGGACCCCCGGGGACAGTATTCACCTACAGGAAGGAGGCCATGTCCCTCCCCACAGAACAGAAATTTTAGCTTTAGTTCTTATTATCTTATATTAAAATTTTAAACAGATGTGTTTGGGTTTTACAGTGCTAGGCATTGATTGATACACTAAGTATCTTTCATATCTAATCTCTCCTGTAGATATCGGATTTAAGTGGGAACGGTCGGTTGTCTAGGTTTCAGCCTCCAGGCCTGGGGAGGCAGAGGCAGGGCTAGACGTTTCTTCTCCCCACTGCCCTCAGTGGGGAGGAGGCCCCTTGGCCAACCCCCGGTCCCCTCTGGAGCGAGAAGGAGCCAATGAATCAGGCCTTTTGCATTTAGCTCTGGGCCGGGAGGTATTGGCGACAGCCCTTCCTTGCTTTTCCTCCATGGTGGTGGCAGGCCAGTCAGTGAGCTTGTGTGTCTCGTCCACTCACAGAGACACTGAGATCGACGACCTCAAGACGCAGCTGTCTCGCATGCAGGAGGACTGGATTGAGGAGGAGTGCCACCGCGTGGAGGCCCAGCTGGCCCTGAAGGAGGCTCGCAAGGAGATCAAGCAGCTCAAGCAGGTCATTGACACGGTCAAGAACAACCTGATCGATAAGGACAAAGGGCTGCAGAAGTACTTCGTGGACATCAACATCCAGAACAAGAAGCTGGAGACACTGCTGCACAGTATGGAAGTGGCCCAGAACGGCGCCACCAAGGAGGATGGCGCCGGGGAGTCGGCCGGCGGGTCCCCCGCCCGCTCCCTCACCCGCAGCTCCACCTACACCAAGCTGAGTGACCCGGCTGTCTGCGGCGACCGCCCCCCCGGTGACCACCCTGGGGCCTCTGCTGAGGACGGGGTTGACAGTGGCTTCGCCGTGACCGACGACACCCTGAGCCGGACGGACGCGCTGGAGGCCAGCAGCCTGCTGTCGTCAGGGGTGGACTGTGGCCCCGAGGAGGGCTCGCTGCACAGCAGCCTCAGCCTGGGCCCCCGCTTCCCCGCCAGCAACACCTACGAGAAGCTGCTGTGTGGCCTGGAGGCCGGCGTGCAGGCCAGCTGCATGCAGGAGCGAGCCATCCAGACAGACTTCGTGCAGTACCAGCCGGACATGGACACCATCCTGGAGAAAGTGACCAAGGCCCAGGCCTGCGGGGCAATCCCTGATGCCGGGGACAGGTGCCCGGAGCTGGAGCCCTGCCCTCCGGGGCTCAAAGACCCTGACTCGGCAGTGGTGGTGACGGTGGGTGACGAGCTCGAGGCCCCGGAGCCTGTCACCCGAGGGCCGAGCCCACACCGGCCCGGCGCCAACCCCAGCCCCAGCCTGTCGGTGAGTGTGGCATGCCCCGTGGAAGAGGAGGAGGAGGCGGCTGCGGCTGAGAAGGAGCCCAAGAGCTACTGGAGCCGCCACTACATTGTGGATCTGCTGGCTGTGGTGGTGCCGGCTGTGCCCACGGTGGCCTGGCTCTGCCGCTCGCAGCGGCGCCAGGGTCAGCCCATCTACAACATCAGCTCCCTGCTGCGGGGCTGCTGCACGGTGGCCTTGCACTCCATCCGCAGGATCAGCTGCCGCTCGCTGAGCCAGCAGGGCCCTGGCCAGGCGGGCGGCGGCTCCCAGCTGTGAGCAGTGCGCCACCTTCCCTCCCGCCCTCCTGGCCCCGGCCTGGCTCCGGCGGCCTGACCACTGATTGTAGGGGTGCCGCTCTCCCTCCCACTCCTTCCCCGGGGCCTCTTCTTATTTATTTAGTTTTGGGTTTGGAAGTGGCTTTTTCAGGAATTGAACAGTGTCGGAGGGCCAGGAGTCAGAGTTGGGGGAAGGCAACCCAAAACTGTGACAGAAGAAAAGGGAAGAGAGACCAAAGGTGGGGAGGCACACAGGTGGGACACGCTGCAGAGAGAGGAGGTGGGGAGGCCCCCCAACCTGGCCCTGTCTGTCTGGACCTTCACTGCCCCTGCCCTGGAAAGTCTCTGGTGTGTTGGTCTGGGGAGGCTGGCCTGAGGCGCCCGTGGGAGCCTCCCCGCCCCGTCCCGTCCCGTCCGGTCACCTGCCCACCCACGCCTTCTCTCAAGCCACCCCTTGCCCTCAGTCCTGCCTTTCAGGCCAGTATTATCTCCTCACGGGGAGGCAGCTGCTGCCCAGAGCACAGGCAACTGGCCCAGGACTCTGAGCAGGGTCGGCAACCCTGGGCCTGGGCTGCAGTCCCAGCACCTTCGGGCTGCTCCCTGCCTCGGGATTCAGAACCGTGGTCAGGCCACAGGTGTGGGCCAGAGCAAAGGTGGTGACGGGCAAGAGGTAGCAGAGCACAGCGTGGGTTCTGTGTCTGTTTGTGCTACACCTTCCCTGGGATCCATTCCCTTCTCGGCACTTCCAGCTGTGTCAGATCACTGTTCCCGTGAGAGCTGAGCCAGAGGGGCTGGGGCTGGAGCTGGGGCTGGGGCTGGAACACCTGCCTGAGCCCCGGCTCCATCTGCAGCCTCTACCGCCCGCCCGCCCGAGAGGAGGAGGCCGGGCTGGCAGCGCAGCAGGGCCCCTCCGCCTCCTGGGACAGGTCCTGTGGGGTGGGAGGCAGGGCCGGACTCGGTTTGAGAAGCCAGAGGCCATGACTGCCCCCGGAGCTCACCCCAAGGTTCCATGGGGGCCTCGGGCCCAGCTTCTGCTTTGCACTATGTTCACTTTGGGGCTTGGCCCTCACGCACCCCAGCATCTCCACTGAGGGCTGCTCACATTCTAGGGTGAAGGCTCCTAAACTCAGACCTGTCTGCCTCTGGAAGGAATTCCAGCAGGATGAGCGGTAAGATGGGATACTGAAGCCATGATGCTCATCCAGGCCAAAGCAGGGTGCCCCGGGTTGTCTCCCAGGCAGGGACAGGGCACGGCAGGGGAGCCTGCAGACTCTCTGCTCACAGCCTGAGGCCAGTTGGCCTGGGAGCCTCACTGTCCCCCCTCCGTCCCTGGGACCACATCTGGTCCCCCAGCAATGCTGCTCATTTTACCACCACTATTATTTTACAGAGTATACCCACTCCTGCTCCATTGTGGGGCTTACACCCATCTGGGTACCCCCCGCACTCTTCAGAGGTTAGGCCCCACACCTGGGGGGGGTTGGTGGGACCCTACGTCTTACTCATCCCTCTGGCCCCGGGACCACTCTGGTTCTCTGCCAAGGTTGCTTGCCCACCCCCACTGCTCCGACAGCCGCCACCTGACTTAGGGGCTCCCAGCCCTCCTCCCTGCGCCCTCCGCTTCAGGTGGGGCACCTGCATGCACTGGGCAGGGGCAGCCAGCCCAGCCATGGGGGCAACAGCCCCCTCTGCCACAACGCTTTGTGCCTCCAAAGCTCCCCCCACCAGTTGGGGCCTCAGATTAGCCATCCTTTGTGGAGCACCCCCACCCCAGCCAAAGCACACCTGAACTGGGGCCTGGCTGGGGCTGCCCCACAGATGCTGGGGTCGTGACATGGAGGGGCAGTGGACAAACCCAATCCAAAGCCAAGCCGGGACTGGCCGTGGCCCCAGCCTCCTGTGCCGTGTACTCACGAAGCTGCGTAGTGTCTCCTTAGAAATAGTCCAAGCTTTGCCGAGAAAATAAATGTATGACTATATTTGACAACACAAAATCTATATATTTTTCACCACTGGAATTATGTGAGCTGCGTAGCCCCTCCGCTTCTGTCTGTGTCTTGCTCTCTGTGGCCTTCCTATCGTGTCTTGTGTTTTGGTGGACGTGGTCAGGGCTGAGGCCGGAGCCCACTGTGTCCCTCTGGAGAAGGCCCTCGAGATGGGCCACTGCTCTGGGTTGTAGGGCCCTCGCCCACAGTGTGGAGGGTCTTCTCTTTTGGGGCCTTCAACGGGTTTTTCTTCCCGTGTCAGTGGAGGCAGTGGCTCAGCGCCCAGCCCTGGGACGGACCTGAGAGCACGCTGCCCGTGGCCCTGGCCTAGCCCTTCGTGTGTGCGCCTGTGTGCTCAGTGTCCGCATCTATGCAAAAGGGGCAGCACGACGTGTGCAGCTCCGAGCAGTGGAGGCACAGCGGCCTGCTGGCTCGGGTTCCCGGCCCTGGTCATGCAGGGCACAGAGCACGGGGTAGGAGGGCAAGGCCAGGGGCAGGGGCCGCTTGCCCGGGGCTCCTCCTCCAAAGATCCCCTTTTTCTTGTTGCTTAATACCTCGTCCTGCTGGGCTATGGCCTTTCCCTCCTGCTCTCGGCTTTCGGAGCAGAAATTGTTGGGGCCTCCCCTCCTGCCAGCCTCCAGCTGGAGCTGATTAGATCCTAAGGGACATTTCCCCAGGAACCACCTACTGAACTGCTGGTTCCTTGGAGCTCAGAGGCCAGAAGTGGCTTCTGCTTAGATGGAGGGCCTGGGTCTGGGCCTCCCTGCTGCTCCTCTGGTCCAGCCTCAGGCAGGAATCAGAGCCAGGGCTGGGACTCTGCACAGAGAGCTGGCCTCCGGCGGAGTTTATTCCGAGCATCTCCCAAGGGGATAACTTAGCCTTTCACTGAACAGCCTTCCCAGGCACCGCTAGCACCGGGGTATCTGACAGTGCCTGGGGAGGGGCGGGCATCGGCAGAGTTCCGGGGCAAGAGCCTACCGAGGGCCTGAGCCCGGGGAACTCGTGACACCCTCTCTGACCTATGGGGACAATGCAAACAAATCACAGCGTACTCTCCCACTCGGCCATCCCCTCGATGGAGAATTCAGGGGATACAGGAAGGGGGGAGGTGGGGAGGGTCTTCATTTTGTCTCCTTTGTCCTTCTGTTCAGATAGAGTTGTACCTGCAGCAGACAGCTCTGAATTAAAGCATGAAAACACAGCAAGACCCTCGGCCTGATTTCTTTATATCGTGGTGGGGTTTTTTTGTTTTTGTTTTTGTTTTCTGAGAGGGATGCAGGAGGCTCAAACCATCCCTGCCAATCTAGGATACACGGCGTACACACAGGGAAGGACTGGCAGAAAGAGGGCCTTTCTGAGGTTGAGGGAACCAGACAGCCTCGTGCTGGCTCAGCGCTGCCATGTACCTGTTGCGGCAGCTGAAGTTTCACTCCCCTCCTGGGTCACACAGATGATCTCGGACCTAGAAGGGCCTCTCCCAGCCCCCTGAGGGTCAGCCCTGCTGGCGCCTGTCAGTGCCCCGCGTCCACTCCGGCATCCCTGAAGTGGATCTCCTGTGCTCTCTGCAGATGCAGAAGCAGGCTGAGTGGGGCTGCTCTGAAGCCAGAGTCCCTCCTCCAGAGTCCCACACTGCTCCCCCACTCCAGCACCTCTGTCCCCGACTGGCAGGCAGCACGTGATGGCAGCGCCAAAGCGCTGCTCTCAGGCACCGTGTGTAGAAAAGACCACAGTCTCAACACTGCTTAGAAGAAAACCAGGCCTGGCGTGTCATGGGACCAAGGATTCTGGAATTTTCAATCACTTTTGAAGAAAGGCCTTTATTTAAAATCAAGTATGTATTCAAAAGAAATGAAGGATTATAACTATGTAGTTTGTGACAGACGGCAAGGAAAGGAGAAAGAAAACATTCTCACAAAGGATGTAGTTGTGTTTCTCAAAACGTGAAACTGTTTTTCTGGTAGGGGCAGCAAAAATCTGGTGAGGGACCCAACTGCAACTTTAAGAAGTCGTTGGCTGGACTGCCTACGTGCTAAGCATTTAAATAGGCACAGAGAATCACTGCTGGGGGCCTGCGTGCAGTTCCGGTCAGAGGTTCCAGGGAGGCCCGTGTGTCTGTGTGTCTCGGTGGCTTCCCACCGGGATCCCCACCTGCCCCACTTGGAACATGTGCCCTCAGCGCAGCCCTGGCCTGGGCACAGCCCCCCACACCTGTCCTAGGAGGACTCTGAGCCCTTTCCTGCAGGGGTGGGGAGTATGGGACGGCTGAGCAGTGCTTCCCTGGCTTCAGAAATCTGGGATCGAGTGGTCCATGGCGTGGTGGAGCAGGGTCGGGGACAACCTAGATACAGCAACGAGGACAGTCACCCAAACTGGCAGCACCTGCTTCTCCTCCCTCCCGGCCTGTGCATCCCCCAGGGGGACCTTCATTTCCATTCCTAAGATTTTCAAGTCCCTTGCAATCACCAGCCACCTGGAAGGGAGTGAAGGGGGGCAGGCTGGTGTGTGCCCTGCGTGAGGCTTGAGGAGGCCGGCTTGGCTAGGAGGTGGGGAGGTGGGGGGTAGGGGCTTGGCTAGGAGGGGGGAGCCTTACTTTTTGACCATGTGCTCATAGATCACGGTAGGGATGATGGTCAAGGTGACAACGTTCCCGGCCATGGCCAGAATCTCTGTGACCGCTTTGTCCTGGAGAGGAAGTGAGGGGACAGTCACCCTGGGGCCAGAGGCACCTCTGCAGAGGAGGGGTCAGCACCCCACCCCGGGACCCTGCTGCCATTAGGGGAGAGTCCCAGGTAAGCAGCCGGGTGAGGCCTCGCTTGAGCAAGACCGAGAGCCCCCCGACCTGAGGATCTCTGTGGTAAAAATGAGCAGGCCTCTCCTCACTCCCCCCTTGGAGGCAAGTCCTGTGGGCCTGACACAGAATAGGCCTCACAAACACTACTTGCCTCCCCTTCCACCGGAGCGCTCCCAACGTCTCACTCACCAAGCCCACATTTTCTATTCCATCTCCCTGACTCAGTCACACTCAAGTTCTGGAAAATTACTATGCAGTGGAGGCCATCGGGGGCATCCATCCACCCGCTGGGCTCCTGTTGGCCAGCCAGACGAGCCGAGCCCTCCAGGGCTCTTTTCCGCTTACACTTTGTTGACCGGTAAAGAGAGAAAGGTCTGCAGACGCCATTCAGACCATGAGGAGAACAGGAAAGGACAAGCCCCTATGCCACGTGGGCCAAACAGACTGAACTCTAAAGCACGGCCACAGCAGAGCTTCCGGCCCTTCACAGAGACTAGTGACCATCCACGCACTTCTAACTTGGTTATGTGCTCAGTTGGTGAGATACAAGATGTGCGAGATGGGACCAGTGACAGCCACACGGTGGAAACAGATCAGCTTTCAGAAGACAAATATCTCAAAATGCGTAACTACACAGGGCCGCTCAGGAAACGGAGAAACCCAGTGAGAGCCTCCGAGCACCACGGTTTGCCGGGGTAACTGGCAAGTTCATCATGATGCCCTGAGCCTTCGGGGAGGAAGAGAGAATCCTTGGCACATTTTAGCATGACTGGTATCCAGAAGAGTTAAGATCAAAGAACTGGAATGCTTTGAAAGGAGTGCGTTTGCAGGTACCCGAGAGGGAAGCTACTCAGAATCGGTGTTGGCCTGTCAACTTCTCAGGCATAAAGGGTTCCCTTTGGATTGTCAAGCCTGATCCCCGAGGGAGGGGAGATATGCAGTAGGAGGGATCACAGACTCACATCAGGAAGAACTTCCTGATCACAATGCTCATGAGCCTCCAGAGCCAGCCTCCAAAGGAGGTGGGGAGACAGTCCAGCATGGGAAGCAGATCTGGGACAGGAATGGCGGGGTGATGGCCCTGGGGAGGGGTGGAGAACTGGCTTAGAAGGCCGTGCCAGCTGCGGAGTGAGATGCCACTGCCCAGGCCACTTCTGCTAGGGGGAGCCCTGGAGCCCTGGCTGCAGGAGGGGATAGGACTCTCCCTCCAAATCACAACCTTGAAGAAGAACCGCTCTCTGTCCAGGCGGCAGCGAGTCAGGATCAAACCACTTTCACTTGTTCAGGGACCAAAAGCCACACGACTCATCATCCTCTGAGGTCCGGTGCCTGAAGGCGCCCACTGCTCAGTCCACATCCGCTAGACCCTGGACCCCTTGCTCCTTCAGGCTTTTTAATGATAAAACACACACACCCTCCAAAGACGAACAGAGGTCAGAAGTGTGTTTCTGGGGGATGCCTGGGTGGCTCCGTGGTTTAGCGTCTGCTTCAGCCCAGGGCACGATCCTGGGGTCCCAGGATCGAGTCCCACATCAGGCTCCGTGCGTGGAGTCTACTTCTCCCTCTGCCTGTGTTTCTGCCTCTCTCTCTCTCTCTCTCTCATGAATAAATAAATAAAATCTTTTTTAAAAATCTAAAAAAAAAAAAAAGAAGTGTGTCTCTGAACAGCAATTTTCCAAGATGTTCCTATTATGGAATGTGAGCCAGTTATGCAAACAGAAGTGCCATGGAGGAGGCAGGTATCCCTGCAAGCAGCAGCCCCCTCCCCGGGCGCCCTGTCCTGATGCACCTCCTGCCTGGACGCACCACCTGCCCAGCTCTCCTCCGGCCTCCTGGTCACTGAGCACTGCCCCATGCTTGGGTGCTCGGCGCTGAGCTCAGAGCTCCACCTCCCTCGTCTTAGCCCACAGCAACCAGAGGGCGAGGGACCCGAGCCCCCGGGGCACGGCAGCCTGCCCGCTCAGAGCCCCCCTCCAGCAGCCGGCTCTCAGCCCCTGAGCTCCGCGGCCGAGCGCAGCCGCTGGCCTACCTTCAGCCCGACCACATTCTGTCCGTTCACCTCGCACACGGACTGCTTGGTGAGGAGCCCGTTGCGGGCCGCAGAACTCCCTCTGACCACAGAGACGACCGTGCCTTTCTTGATGACAAAGCCGACGTGGCCCGTGCTGTCCTTGTGCATGGTGACAGTGCGCTGGAACGGCCTGGCAGGAGAGACCGTGAGCTGGGCCTAGACGTGCCTGGGGCCAGACAGGGAGGCACCGGGGCCCTGGCCACTCACCTGTCCCGAACGACCATGGCGATCTTCTCTGCCGATGCCCTCTTCAGCACCCGGTGTGCTCTGTCCGTGCTCCACCCCGCACAGTCTCGGCCGTCAATCTGCAGGATCTGATCCCCAAAGCGCAGCCCCACAAGAGACGCGGGGCTGTTGGCCTTCACCAGCTGCACAAAGAGCCCCTGGAGGAGGCAGGGCCCTGTGGTCAGCTCCCCATCACATCACTCGGAGCCCAGGTCCCTCCGGCTGCTGTTTGCCTCCTGATCGTCTAGGAGGTGGCAGGACAGCAGTCACTCCATTTTCCTGGGGACAAAATACTCCAGGCCACATAGCCAGGGAGCAGCTGGGTAAGATCTCAACCCTGGCTGGGGGCTGCAGCCCCAGCCCCTGGACTGCATGGCTTCTTACGACGGCACTGGTCCCGCCGGCTTCCACCTTCTGCAGACAGCTGAGCTGCCTGGAAGCCAGATCCCTCTGATGGAGGGGAGGGAGGAGGGGAGACCCCGAGTGGTAGGAGCCCAGGAGGCACAAGTGGAAGGTCCATTCTAGAACCCAGAACCCAGCACTGACCCTGGGGCCTTAGGGGAGGGAGGTTGAGAGGAAGAGCCTCCGCTTGAGGCTGGGTAGGCCTTGGCTCCCCTGCTTGCTCTGCACCTTCCTTACTGTGGACAGGGCCCGCAGGCCCCCTCCCAGGCTAGTGGGCAATACGTGTGGGAGATGCCCCCTCCTCTCCTGCCCAGTCCCCAGCCCTACCTGGTCAATGGCCCTCAGCCGTAGCCCCGTCTTGCCATGCTCATCTTTGCACAGGTAGATCTCGCGCACCCCAGGCTTGATCTCTGCTCGCCGTGTGCCAAGGCTGTTTCCAGACAGCGGTGCCAACAGCTGGCCTGGTGACAGGCCAGAGCCCACCATCTGCAGACACCAGGGGTCTCATAAGGATGGGGAAAGAAAGATGCAGTGGTCCCTGGGCCCTATCCCATCCCCAGATCACACTCTTCTCTCAGGGCCTGTTAGGGTGCATGGCTCCGTGAAGCCACTAGGAGGCATCAAAGCCTATACCCCCTGAAAAACAGCCAGGAAAATGAGGAGAAAGAGAATGGGTGTACAGAAAAGGAATCCTCATTTTGCAAGGCACTTTGGTGTCAGGAGAAGACCCCTTTGAAATCCAATTAAAAATAAAATTTCACAGCAAATAGCAAGCAATTAGGGGGAAAAAGGACTTGATGTGATTTTTGTCTTGAAAAAAATGTAAGCAAAAAGTATAAAAACGAGTGCTTTCCCCCTAAAGCCCAGAACAAGTCAGGATGTCACTCTCACCACTACTCTTAAATGTGGTACTGGAATAACTACCCAGAGCAATAAAGTAATAAAAGGAAATAAAAGGCATACAGATTGTAAAAGAAATAAAATGGTCCCTGTTTGCAGATGATATGATCATCTACTAGGATATTCCCAGGAATCTACAAATAAACTCTTAAAACTAAGTGACTTCAGCAAGGTCACAGGATACAAGATCAACACACAAAAATCAACTGTACTTTTTATACACTAACAGCATACACATGGAAACTGAAATTAAAAGTACACTATCAACTATAATTACTCAAAAATAAAACATAGGAGTAGGTGTACAAAACACATGTAGGACTTGCATACTGAAAACAAAAACAAAAAAGTGGCTGATAAAAGATATCAAAAAATATTTAAATAAATGGAAAGGAATTTTATATTCATGAATTAGAAGAACATGATAAAGCCATCAATTGCCCCAAACTGACATAAAGATTCAATGCCATTTCTATCCACATCTTTACAAGATGTCTTGTAGATGTAGGCAAGGTTAATCTAAACTTTATATGAAAAGACAAAGGAGGGACACCTGGGTGGCTCAGTGGTTGAGCGTCTGCTTTGGGTCAGGGTGTGATCCCAGGGTCCTGGTATCAAGTCCCACATCGGGCTCCCTGAGGGGAGCCTGCTTCTCCCTCTGCCTGTGTCTGTGTCTCTCATGAATAAATAAATAAAATATTTTTTAAAAAGAAAGAAAAGAAAAACTATCCATTGAGAAAATGAACAAAACATACGAAGAGCATTTTACTGAAAAAAATCATAGCTGGTAAACAGCACATGGAAGGACATTGAACATCACTAGCCATGAGGGAAATGCAAATTAAGACCCTGATGAGACATCACGACACACCTATCATAACAGCAAACGTTAGTGAGAAGCTGGCAAAGATGGGAAGAAACTGGAAGAGTGTCGCTGGCAAGAAAATAAAACAGCAGAGCCACTCTTAAAATAGTTTGGCCGTTTCTTTTCAAGATTCAAACATGCATTTATCATACAACCTAGCAACTGTACTCTTGGACATTTATCCCAGAGAAATGAAAACTTATGTCTGTACAAAAGAACTATACAAAAATATCCATAGTAACTTACTTTGTAACAGCCCCAAACTGGAAAAAACTAAAATGACTCTCAATGGATTAAAAAGTCTTTGATGTCCATACCATGGACTACTACTTAGCAACGCAAGGGGATGAACTAAGGGAGCGGGGGTGGGGGGTGGGGGGTGGGGTTGGTGGGGATTAAGGATGCAGGTGATGTATGGAATTGTTAAATCACTGTATTATACACCTAAAACTAATATAACACTGAAAGTTAACTATACTGGAATTAAAATAAAATGAAATAAAAACAAACAAACAAATACGCAAATAAAATGAGATGAGCTATTAATACAGCGAATAACCTGGAAAGGTTTCAAGGGCATTATGCTGAGTGGAAAAAGCCAATCCGAAAAGGCTACACGCAGTAGGATTCCATTTATATAACATTCTGAAACAAAATTATGGAGGCAGAAAACAGACTAGTGGTGGCCAGGGGGTTAGGGATGGTCAGGGGGAGAGAGTGGGCATGACCCCGAAGGGCCGGCCTGAGGGGGACCTTTGTGGGGACGAAACAGTTCGTGCCTTGGTTGCACTGGTACTTGCATGAGTCTATCTATACAGGTGACAAAGTGACACAGGACTACAGACGCTCACTGCACCAACGTAAAATGTCCGTTTTCCTTATCCTGTAGTTCTGCAGCCACTTCCTGCATAACCATTAGGAACACTCGCTGGAGGGTACAGCTTTGTGTGCCCTTCTCTATACTGTCTTTGTGGCTTCCCAGGAGTCCATGATTATTGAAAAATAAAAAGTTAAAAATAAAACTTTTAGCTATAAAAATGAATCCACCTGTCATATTTGTACCAACATTTCAGTGAAATGCACTCACGTCCTCATTACTGGAACGAAGAGAAATTCAGTCAAAGGCTGACAAGGGAAGTATACACCATGGGACTTTCTTTGCTTCCTGTTTGTATTTCACAGCATGACTAAGGGGGTTATTGTGGAGAAACACCCCAGGCCCCACATGTCCCCATCCTGGTGGCCTTTCTCCTGTGAAACCCTCATCTGCCAGTGGCTATGTGTGTGTGTGTGTGTGGGTGGCTGTGGCAGTTTTCATCCTCACTCCCTTCCCTTCATGAAACCCTTCAGCCTCAACAGGACTTGGGGTTGTGCTCTGCCACCAATTTTCACCAGCCTGGGGACAGGACAGCAGACAAGCACGCTGACCAACGGCCCGTGGGGATGCTGGAGCCCACTGGGAGGGGGTCTGGGTGGGCACTGGGTCTCTGAATGAGCGTATTTTCAGGAGGGAATATTTCAGTGTCATGATGTCTCTTGCTCCCCAAAACTATGGAGAGCAGGAATCAAGCAAGCATTGTGGTTTAATTTGGGGACCAGAGCTGGGTGACAAGCTGCTCCCCCTCTCGGCTCTGCCATCCAGGCAACAGCTCTCAAGGCACAGGCGCTCCTACATTAGATGCCTCCAGGCTCAGGCTGGGTTTAACGCCTCCCTTCTCATCCAGCAGCCTGAAGCCAGAGGTCAAGGGGCAGGCAGTGGTCCTCCAGCTCTGCCCAAGACTGCAGGAAACCCCACAGCACTTTTAATGACGGGTCAAAATGAGAAGTGCCATCAAGAAACAGAGCCGCAGGCACGCCAGGGAGCAGGAGCTTCCAGTCTGTGCAAACGGCGAAACCAAGGAGGGCAAGTTGGAACATTTCTGTGCCCACATCAGGCACGAGAAGAATACCTACACCAGCACCTTCTGGAATCTGAAGCAGGTTCTGCTGGACTTCTTGGCTGGAGAGGGAAAGACCCATATAATTTTCCAAGTCTGCCAGGCTTGGGTACAAAACTGATGGGAAGGGAAGGGAAGGGAAGGGAAGGGAAGGGAAGGGAAGGGAAGGGAAGGGAAGGGAAGGGAAGGGAAGGAAGAGGAGAGGTGTTACTCAGGGGTGCATGCTTGGCCACGCCTGCCTGGCTCCCCCGTGTCACTCAGCTGTATTAATAAACAGGGCCCAGGGACACTGTTTACTCCTGAGAGGGCAAGGGAACACTCGCTGGTGATGTGGGTTCTCCCCTCAGGAGGGCTGAGGGGCAGTGATCTCGCCAGGAGCAGCCTGGGACACAGAATCCCTCACGTACGTACCACTTGGCTGTTCAACGCAACAGACTTTATTTGGCACCAGCCAGACATGCGACACCAAGCACAGAGCTGGTGCTGGGGACGTGAGGCCCCGGGTCCTAGGAAATCCACGGGATGGGGGGCAGCCGGGCTGTGGGAGGCAGGCATCTGACCCCAGGGCAGCTCCCAGGAAAAATGCACAGTGAGGAGGGAAAGAGTGGGCCTGTGGTCAAGGTAGCTGCCACAGCACCTGGATCAGGACTGCCATCATCTCGGGGGCCACCACAAACATCCCGGTCTCCTCACTTGGCCATAGAAGTTAGTCCCACATCAGAGGATTTGGTGTTCTCACTAAGCCACAGAATTCTCAGGGTCCCCCTCAGAGGGTTCTGGTGGGGGTAAAATGTGCAGGAAGCCCACAGCAGGGCGGCAGGCAAGAGGCAGTGCTTGCAAGTGGCCACAAGAGGTCACTGTCAGTCAGGAGCACCCCACCCCGGCTCACTCACCTGAAGGTTGGGAGACTGGCAGGGCGGGCATCCTGGCTGCAGCTCTGGCCTGGGCCTGGGGAGAGGTGAGGTGCACTGATCAGCTGTGGCCAGGACCCTCAGACCTTGGAGCTTGGGGTTCCCTGAGGCTGAGGGTCAGGGCCTTAATTATGCTGGCAGGCCTAAGGTGGGGGGGGCATCCAACGAAACTCGGAGATGTGTAAATGTGGTCTCTGCAGATGTCCATGTTTCTGGGGAAGGTTCTCCCTGTAGCCCACATCCCACCAAATGTCATGCCCCACTTGCTACGGGAGGCAGCCAGAACATCAAGACCCACCTCCCAATGAAATTCTCAGTCAACAAGTCCCAAATTCTCAAAACCCACTGGAACTGCTGGTGGATGAAAGGAAGAAGGGGCTTCTGGGGATGAGCAGGCCACATGCCACGCCCAAGGGGTCTACTCTGGAAGCCTGTCTACAGTGTGGCGTCTACTTGAACGGGGATGGAGGAAGTGCTGGGACGCACAGGCCTATCTGCAGCAGCAGCCTTCTCCTTGGCCTTGGCCTTCTCCACTCCTGCTGTAACTCCACTGCCTTAGCCTCCTGTCCACCAGCAGGCCCTGCAGTGGTGACCTGCAGCACCCAGCACCTTTCAAGACAAGCCTCCCTTACTCACCCTGGGGCAATCACAAAGGGCCCACAAGGGCCTAGACTAACACATGCCTAGTGGCTTACCTGAATGGCTTGGTCCATCTTCAGGTCCTCCAGAGACGGGTACAGGGTAGACATGGCTGTTCCTCAGAACACCCTTCAGGGCACAGACAGTGAGGAGGGGTGAGGGGTGAGAGGAAGCATAGATGTCTGCCTCCCGTCCATGGGTGCCACTCAGGACTCTCAGGATAAGAGACATATCAGGAAGGTATCATGCCCAGTTTGGAGATGGGGGAGCTGAGTCTGAACCCAAATCTGTTTTGTTCCCAAGCCCATATCTCCACCCTTGCAAAATTCCATCCCACCTGTTCAACTGACTCTGGGCTTCAGACCCCAGACCCAGGGGACCACCCAGGACACGCTGGCCAGGAAGAGCAGGAGTTTCAAAGGTCAGGTGGGTTGAGGGGGTCTGGTTACTCAAGACCCAAATTCATTCCAGCAAGTTCATAGTGAGCATCTGCTGCATACAGCATCATCCCACAACTGCACAGAATTCCAGGGGTCTTAATTACAATAGAAAGGCAGCAGGTCATTTTGAATCCCTCCCTCACGGCCACATCCCTGTTCCCCTCTGAGTATTTGAGCTCCTACTGTATCCCACCCATTTCCAGCCTTGATTTTAGCCTAGGCTTCCACTCCTCTCCTTGTAAAGCTCCGAGCTTCGTAAATGCAGTGTCTTGAGTTTTGCATTTAGACAACTAATTTGAATGTATGAAGTACTCTGCAAGGTCAAATAAAATCTGTTTGCATCTGGCCTGTGAGCCACCAGTTCCAATCTCTGGAGGAAACAGAAGTCTGTGGGGACCACTTTAGAGAATATGGGCTAGATACTGGGAGTAGTGGTGAGCCATCGGGGGGGGGGGGATTTAAGCAGGGCTAAGACATCCCAGGCTCATGCAGAAGGGCCTATGGACTTCCACCTGGAGAACAACAAGAGAGGAGGTAAGACCTATTGGAGGATGTTGGAGGGCCTGGGGAGGGACAGGAAGATGATGGAGGTCTGCACACAACATGGGGGTTAGGGGTGGGATGTGAGAGAGGAGAGATTTGATGGCAAGTTAGAAGTAATGGTATGCTGGGGAAGGGTTGTCAAAGCAGCAGGTACAGAGGAAGAAGGAACAGTGATGGATGACGATGACCTTGGCCCCTGTGGGTCCCTCAGGGGAGATGCTCAGAGCATCCGGACCTGGCAGGGCTGGAGTCCCTTCACCCCTGGCACAGCCCACTCAGTTCCCTGTGACCACCCAGGCACTCCTTTTTTGTGTACACCTGCTCTGATGTCCTAAGGGTACCCACCTTCCTAGGATGGAAATGAGGACCAGAGGTCCCAAATGTATTTCATTCACCTCTCAGTCTTGTTTTTTATTTTTTTCAAATTTGAATTAGTGCAAATATTTTAAAGTCTGGGAATAAAACAGTCCTCACTTCTAATTTGTATTGAAAAAAAAGTCAAAACATTTGGCAATGCAAGAGCAAGAATCATGCACAGCAACACCCAGTCCAGGCTGAGTTGCAGCCAGCCTCTTAGATGGTGCTGCCTATGCTTTCCCAGTCCTCAAAGTACCCAAGCCAGCAATTTATGTCACGTGCTTGGCTCTTTGAAGCAGGCGGCACCGGATCCTTGCCCTAGTCTGGTCTTTGTGGCAGAAATGATCACCTCAGGAGTAGAGAGACTGTCCTAGGGGAAAGGGGGACTGGCTCTGACCTCCTTTAGACCATCTGGGGGAAAGAGACCCCTTTGCCTGTGGCCTTCCCCACTGTGCACATACTCTGGGATATTTTTATCTTGGGACAGTCCTCAGCAGGTGACATCTGCCAAAACACGCCCTGTTACCAGGATCATGCATGAAGAGCATATGTGAAAATGAGAGGCCAACCCTGCCCGGCTTTTTCTAACACTGAAGCAGCACAGCAGTTATTAGATTTTTTATTATTATTATTTTTTTATTCATGATAGACATAGAGAGAGAGAGGCAGAGACACAAGAGGAGGGAGAAGCAGGCTCCATGCAGGAAGCCCGACACGGGACTTGATCCCGGGACTCCAGGATCGCGCCCCGGGTCAAAGGCAGGCGCTAAATCGTTGAGCCCCCCAGGGATCCCCCAGCACAGCAGTTATATTTTCAGTGGCTGCCCTCTGAGACAGCAGAATCAGAGCTCCACTTCCTGGAAACCACTCCCAGGCCAGAACCACACAACACTTTCTCTGCATCTGGGACCTTTACCACCTCCACCTCTGAGGCCCCACTCAGTTTTACTGAGCTCTGGGCAGAATTAGGAGGCAGGTATTCCCCTACCTTTTAACAGTTTATGATCTAGTGGGGAATGGCTCCCAGCCAGCAAATATGCTGTGCCTCATCCAATCATCGGTCTACCCACTTGTAGCATTTGAGTATCTACCACGCGCCAGGGGCCCTGGACCTGTTTCAGCCATCCCGGGCCCTCTGCTTGGCACACCACCCTTCCCTGGGTGGTGCTCTTTGAGGTTTAGTTCAAATGCTGTTTCTTGGGTTGCCTTTTTCAGGCCATTGGACCCCCCCACCCCCACCCACCCCCACCCCCGCTAGTTGGTTGGATCTTCTTGTGCTCCATCCCTGACTTGTGCTGCCTCTGCTGTCGAGCTACTTACCATATTACACGATCAACATACTGGACCCCGCCTCACAAAGACAGGGAGGGGCCGTGTCCCCTTCACCACACACTAGGCCTCCCCACCACAATAACGGCAAATATGCATGGTGATAAAAATAGTTAAATCTGAATAAATCAGTGGTTTTCCGAGAACAGATTGGAAATTCTGTAGGCATTTTTGGGTGTCAGAAGACTGTGGGGGAGGGATCCCTGGGTGGCGCAGCAGTTTAGCGCCTGCCTTTGGCCCAGGGCGCGATCCTGGAGACCCGGGATCCAGTCCCACGTCGGGCTCCCGGTGCATGGAGCCTGCTTCTCCCTCTGCCTGTGTCTCTGCCTCTCTCTCTCTCTGTGTGTGTGACTATCATAAATAAATAAAAAATTAAAAAAAAAAAGACTGTGGGGGACATCACGAACACTCAGGGCACAGGCCGCAGAGATCTGGGCCTCTGGTAATGGACCCGCAGACCATTCGCAACAAACCGTCCTCTGTCCTGTGCAACTTTGCAGTGTCCTCCCAAACCTTCATGCGGGCATCGAGCCTGCTTATAACCTGTGTTGTGGGTTTTTTTTTTTAATAACCTGTTTTATATACAAACACAGCGTTTCCTGGTTTTAATGCGCAAGAAATGCATGTACCAGGTTAGTCAAGGGCGGCTGCAGCGCCAAGCCCTCCCACGGCTGCGGAGACCCGGACGCGGCCCTCCCTGCGCGCCTGCACGCGGCTGTCACACTTACTCCACACCTGTTTACAAATACTTGGCCTTTGACTGGAGACGTCAAACCGAACTGGCGGAAACTTTTCCGTCGAATACGGTCTTAAACCCAGACGCACGCGTTCTGAGTAAGGCACCAACACGATCTGGCGTCATGCAGCTCCAGCTCTGGCAAACGGAAGGGCCCAAGCTTCTGCTATGAACTACCTTCCTCGCCCGTGCTCCGCCTTTATGATGAAGTCGGAGCATCCTGCTGGCTGGCCCGCCAGGACCAGGAACCACCGGTTCCGGACGAACCCGCCTCCTCCCTCGGCCTCAACTTCCCCGCTTTGCGCAGCCAGGCACCAAGTCCACGCCCCGGGGGCCGGGGCACGGGCCGCCAGGGCCTGCTCTTCACCCCAGGCCCGTCCCCCAGCCCGCTGGACGGCGCAAAGATCCGCAATCCCGCTCTGAGATCCCTTCTGATCCCCTCAGATCCCGCTCTGAGGCCCCTTCGCTGCCACCCCCGCCGGGACCAACGCCTCCCGGCGGCTCGGGGCTAGGCGCCTGCGCAGAGAGCCCGCCGCGTCGCTGGGGCGCGCTGCGGCGTCTAGGACGCATGCGTCCCCCACCCCAGGGCTGCGCGCCGCGAAGGGCGGCTCCCAGGCTGCCCCGCGGTAGCGGGGTCGAGCATGGCGGCTCCCTGGCCGCTCGGGCTGTCAGCCGGCTGGGCTGTTAGAATTCAGCCTGCCTCTCGCTTTCTCCAGGTGCCCATGGCCGGTGCCGGCACCCACAAAAAGAAATCAGGTAAAGCTGCAGAGTAAGGGATGGAAAAGCTCGATCGGACCCCTCGCCCCCTCTTTACGGGACTGGAGGCCGCGCAGAGCCGATCGAGCTTTAAAGGGACGAGTGTGTCCCCCCCCCCGCCCCCCGCCAAGCTCTTGACCCCATTTACGGGCCATTTACGGCCTGCGGAGGAGGGAGAGTGCGGGGGACCCTTGGAAAGGCAGCGGTGGGAGGGGAGGAGGGTGTAGGGACGCCTGCGCTCCCCGTTGCCTGCTGCTGGAATGGAATCCCGCCGTCGCTAAGGCTTCCGAAGCGCTTTCAGTTCCCGAGTGTTCCCTCCCCACTGTGACGTCACTGGGCGTCCCTCCAGGTTGTGTTTTGCCGGGCTGACTTCTGACCAGGTGCCCCCGCTCCACCAAGATCCCGCGGGGGTCCCACCGGCGAGTAGCTGAGTGATCGCACCCCGCTACCGAGGGTGGGGGCCTCGTGGTCGGCCGGGCAGATCGCGAACCACAGCAGAATCGGGTGTCCTCCGATTCTGAACAAGGGCTTCAGGCAGGCTGGCTTTCGGGGTGCAGGATAAAAGACCAGGGTGACCAAGGAAAGCCTCTTGGAGGAAGGAAGTGGATGAGCCGTGTGCTACTCCAGGGTTACGCAGGTTCTCCAAACTGAACTTTTTTTCCCCTAGCATTGCTTCCCCTCTGCACCTGCCCCACCAAGTCCACCCCCTGGTCTGAGCCAGAAATCTGGAAGTTAACGTTAACTCCTGCTCTTGAAGCCATACCCAGCTCTCGCCCTCAGCATAAATCTCCAAACTTCAACTTGGCATTCAAATCTTCATGACCTAACTCCTGAGGGTACCATCTACAGTCACACTTCCTCACTTTTCCACACTCACCCTGCATTTCATTCATTCCAGACTGCCTGCTGACACTAGAACTCACCCTCCTGGTTCATGCCTCCCTGCCTTTTCAGGTACCTGTCCCTCTATCTTGAAGGCCATTCATGCCTTCTCTCTCCCTCTTCTTCATCTGGTGAACTGTTCCCTTGAGTTCTAAGCTTTTCCCCAAATCCCCCCCACACACACACAGAATTAGGCAAACCTCCCTTCTCTAGACCCCAGAACCTCATATTCACCTATTCACCATTCATTCCACTAATGTTTATTAAGTTCCTCTTGTGAGCAAGGTCTTCTACATTCCCTAGGATTGGATTTCCTCTGTGTTGTGTTTGTTTGCCTGTCTCCCCACTGCTGAGCCCAGTGTTTGGCACATGGCAGGCGTCCCAAGTTACTGTTTCTTAAAGGACTGGGAAAGCAAGACACAGAAGGGAAAGCCCCAAAAAAGTCCTTTGAAGAGAAGCTCTGGACCTAGAAAGGGAGGAAAAAACCCGCTGCCCTAATGAGGTAGACTACAAGGCTGGCTCCTCCAGTCTGACAATGGAAGAGTTCGCTTAGCTGAGTGCTGGCTTCCTGCAATTAATTGGCTCCTGTGAAAGGAAAATAACCCATCTCTCAAAGGAATATTCCTTTACTTTGCACTTTACAGAATTTCCATCCCTGAGCTTCTGTACTTTTTGATACAAGCAAGAACACCACCCACTGCAATCCAGCAGTCATGTCCTGGGAGATCAGCAGGGCTGAAAGGGGTCATCAGTTCTCATCTTTGGATTTTGGAACACCTTGTTCCAAAGAGAGCTGAAACTATGGGACTCCTACTTGTTCCTGTGGACAACTCATCCATCCTTCAGAAGACAGTGTGTGCGGGAGGGAAGCGTGGGTTAGAGTGTCAGAGGAATAGCTCCTGGAAGGCCAGATTAGCCTAGTTTGTGGTGGGTTAGAAAGAAGAGGCTGTTGCTAGGCCACCAGCATGTACCCCCCACCCTCCTCCTCAGGGCTGTACTGCCTGCTGGAGGAAGGCTGTGAACGTCATTAGGGAATGCAGATGCTCTTGATTGCAGGCCCCTGGGAGGCAGGCAGGACTGGGTTTAGACTGCTGCCTCTAATTTGTGAAAGCAAACATGGACAAGTCCCCTTTGACTGTCATTTCTTCCTTTGTGATATGGGTAACAGTACTTGTATCACAGAGTTATTGTGGAGTTTTAAAGATCCTTAGGAACTAAGATATGTATGAAGCACACTTAGCTCTGTACCTAGCACATAAGACATGCAATCATCGTTAGCTATTCATTCAGGACATTTACTGAGTGCCCAAGTCCCTGTGCTGTTCTAGGTACTGAGGCAGTGAGCAAAAGGAAAATCTGTCCTTGAGTGTTTCTTTCTAGCTGGATAAGTGTGTTTGCTGTGTTAGGTGGTAGGGAATAATGAGGAGAAAAATAAAGCAGGATGGAGGGTAGAGTGTTGAGAGGTCCAGAAGGGTCTCACTGTGGAGTGGGAGTGATGAGTGACTTTTATAAAAGCCTAAACGGTTGGGAAGAGCATCAAGGCTGAGGGCATGAGGTCGGGGTGCCTCTTGTTCAGAGAACATCTGGCCGGTGAGACCAGAGTCTCATTCAGATGGAGAGCCAGTGGTGAGGAGGTTGGAGAGGGTGTGGTCAGGTTCCCAGGGGGCCATGGCCAGGATTTGGCATTTACTCTGCTGAGATGGGAGCCACTGGAGAATGTTGAGCAGCAGAGTGACATGGTCCAACCTAACATTTTGACAGTCCCCTTTGGCTAACATTTGGTAAACAGACCAGAGGGACAACGGTGGACACAAGGAACCCCAGTGAGCAGTGATAGTGGTGTTAAAATTGTTATTAGTTTGGAAATCGAAAATGTAAAACAAAGAAAAACTATTTAAAAACAAAAACAATTCTTTTGGTTAGTTTGGGCTGCCATATGTAACGAGCCAGTGCAGTGAGTGTCTTCCTAGCACACAGCAGCCTTGTCTGAAGCTCCATTTTCTGAGGCTCTGCTGTGTGGAGGGCACAGGCTGTCCCCCTTGGTTCCATTCATTAGCTCACTCAGTTCTCCCAACTGTGGGGATGTTTCCAGTGTCCACATGAGGAAACCAGTTCTGAGGGAGGTCAAACCACTGGCCAGTTCCTCAGCAGGTTCTTCCCGCTGTGATAGGGTAGTTGGTAGAAAGAGCTTCAGGCAGAAAAATAAGTAGCAGAAACTGAGGCATAGACTCCAGGTTCCCTGTGGAAATCCACTCCTTGCCTGGCCCTCCAAAGGCCCCTTCAGGGAGCAGGGTATGGGCCGTGTCTCCTGAGCATTGTCCTGGAGCTCGGAGGGAGCCTGCAGCCTTCATGGTGTCCGGCTGCAGCTCACTCAGCACTCAAACCTGACCCAGGGCTGGGGTCAGAGAAGGAGACCCCAGTTCACACCAGAGGGAGCCACCTTGAAAGAAACCACCTGGGAGGTCCCAGAAGGGTCAGGACAGGACACACCGCACAAGAGCCAGCCTCACTGGCTCCAGTCCCAGTCAATAGGCCCCAGCTCTTACCTGCTGGCCAGGTGCTGCTGAGCGTCCTTTTCCAGCCACTGCTGAGAGAGTCTGTTCACCTCCGGGAAGGTGGTGGCCCTTGACCCAGTCAGGTGCCGGCTTTGGGAAGGGTGGTGCCCGCCCCCCCCCCCAGTCAGCTGATGCACCCGGATGGACCTAGGTAAAAGCCCTGTGAGTGTATAAACAAAGCAAGTCACTAGGCCCAGAGGAGGGCTTTGGCCTTAGTCAAGATGTGAAGGTGAGGCCACGGGTTAGGGACACACAGCTGCTGTAAGGAGGGATAGTAACTGAGACTTCTTGACCTTGAGGAAATCAGATTTGGTTTGGACATCCAGTCCTGTGGAACTTGAGGACAGTTTGATGGACATCCAAGGTCTTACAAAATGGCCATAACGTGTGACCCATCATTGCCCTTCTAGGAATGCATCCCAGTGAACAAGAAGGCATTGAGATCCCAGAGCCCAGGAAGATTAGATTGGTTGTCTCCAGGAAGAGGAACTAAGGGGCTGTGTACTAGGTGGAGTGGGGGAGGGGTTATGGTACACTTTTGGTACCTCTTAAATTTTGAAGAATTTGAATGTATTACCTATCCCCCCCAATAATCAAAGAAAATTAAACAGAAAAGGAGGAGGAATTGAATTTAGGTCCTGGTGGGTTTGGTTGAACATAAGTGCCTGTCACACTTGGTGCCTCGGGAGGGACTGGGGACCTGTGTTTGGGGTAGTCCCATGAGGAATGATGCAGGGCACCCGCCCAGGGTGGGGTGAGTATCGAGACTGCTCACCTGGCCGGGCAGGTGCACGTCATAGTCCCCATGACGAGCCTGGGCAGAGTTGCACTAGCCTTGGGCATCACGTCCTGACTGGGGGCCCAGGTGGCGTTCAGCCCCGGGGAGGAGACACCACCAGCCTCCACGGAGCTTACAGCCAAGAGTCCTACCCAGGAAACCTGACAGGAACAACAGTGAGAAAGGCAGTTGCCACTAATTGAGCACTCACTGCCCTGTGTGCTGTGAAGGCCTCTCAATGGCCATATCCTCCCTGCTAAGTAGGTGGGAGAAGCAAAGTTCCTCTCAAGTTACACAGCTGGAAGGTGGCTCCAAGGTCATGTTTTCTCTTCAGTGAGGCTAATGCACTGGAGGTTGAGCCATATGGGCCTGAAGCAGGGAGTAAACCATGGGTGATGATCCATCTGAGGCCAAAGAAAAGTAGAAAATAGTGATGCTAATGGAACCACGTGACTCCCTCTCCCCACACACCTTAGTTCACTCAGTCATGGTCTGAAAGGGCCTTTGGGAGAAGACGGAGAAGGAAACCAGCCCAGAAGAGTAAGAGACCTGCCGGTGGTCTCACGGCATGTCAGCACAGAGGTGGGACTCCTACTCCCCAAACCACCACCCCCATTCCACGATGTCCTAGCACCTCCCCTCTCTCACTCCCCCCCCCCACCCCGCATCCTGGCCACCCAGGAGGATCTTTCATGGGCATGCCCCTCCTCAAAGTCTCCAGTTGCTCCCTACCCAAGGGTCAGGACTAAACTCCCAGGCCTGACATAGGGCCTCTGTGGCCTGTCCCCATTACTGTCTTTTCAGGTGGAGTCTACCCCCACCTCACACTTCCATCCCCTTGCCTGCCTGCTACTTCTGAAATGCCTCCCCTGCCCCCCACCAGACCTCTGAGCTCCTCTTCCAGGAAGGCACCCTGGTCATCCCCATCTATCTGGCCTCCCCAGCCTCTGACCTCTGGATCTGACTATCCTCTTCTGTGTACATCAGTCTGCCAGTTAGACCCGAAGTTGCACTGGCAAGGCTTAGTTATTAGATGGGCAGTGGCCATTTTCAAAATAAAAATTGGAACTTGTGCTCCAACCAGGATATATTTCTGCTGCGTTCCACATTTGTTTGAGCAATCCTCAGAAGTCTGAGACATGGTTATCCACTAGGCAGTTTACACTCAGAAACTCCCTAGGATTGCCCCGGGGCACCTGAGTAATCAGCCACTACCTCACTCCCCTTCCCACTGAGCCCAGAGATGGCTCAGGATCCTCTCCCAATAATGTTTCAGACAGCTACTGCCACTTGGATTTGGCCTGTGGAAGGACACCTGAACCATCTGGAATGGGCACTCCCTGAGGGCAGGGGCTCGGCTGCATGGTCCTTGTCCCTAAGGCCTAGCACCGAGGCCTGGCCCATAGTGGGATCTCGTGTTTGCTGAATGAACAAATGCCCCTCCTGGTAAACGCAGTGGCTCACTTTTATTTAGAAGATGGTCCGTTCTGGGGCATCAGATCCAAAGCCGGGGCCTGCGACGTAGCACATTTCGTACACCTCTCTGAGCTTCCATTTCCACACCAGATGGGAGTACTGGTAGCTGCTTTCTGGGCTCATCCTGAGGGTGAGATGAAGGAAGCCTGGGCAGAGCCTAGGACACAGCTCACATGCGGCAAATGCCAATTTCTGACTTCCTCATGGAGTCGGTGTGGCTGCAAGTTAGAGAAACACAAGTGCTCTTTCTGGAAGAAGGGGGAATGGTTGCCAGGCAGAGAGAAGCACCAGCTGGGTGCTCCTACTCTCAGCGTGGACTCTGGGTGGTGTGGCACGAGCCTGCTTAGGTGGCATGAGCCCAGTTAGGTGGCCGCGCCTGCGCCCATACCACAGTATGAGGACTGCAAGGGCTGTTCACAGCTCCTTCTGCATGCTGGGTGTGGGGCATAACCCAATCTCATATTCTTCCCAGCAGTCCCCAGATTTAGAGAGTGGACCAGGCCACACAGCCTGCGTGGTAAGGCCAGACCTTGGTGGTGAACCCAACAGAGCTGCCTGGCCTCAGAGTCTTTCCCATCCCCGAACAGCTGACTCATAGATATACCACACGGTAGCCAGTGGCCCTAGTGAGTCAGAGGTCTGGGGGCTGACGTCCCACACTCCCTCATACTTGTACCCCAGTTGGTCCCATCCAACACTTCAGCCCCGTTCCTGGAAACACAGCACCTGTCTGAGACCCCAAGCTCTAACTCCCACACGATCCCCCAAAGTGTTATCTTGAAGGGGCACAGCTTATTGTATGGGCTGTGGAATCCCAGCCTGCCTGGACTCAAATCCCTACTCGGGCTGTGTGGCCTCATGCAAGTGACTTCACCTCTCTGAGTCTCAGTGTCCCACGTGAGAGATGAGAATAATTTCACTTTGTATTTATCCACACAGATGAAAGTACTTGCCTGGTCCTTGGGAGGCGCTAACTAAATTTGGACTTAGGATATCCACGTTATTGAATTACTCCTTTATCCAAGTGAGAAAAAAATGTGTCCATTACAGTTGTAAATGTGATCAAAGATCAAACATACAGAAATTAGCTGCATCCTTTCTGGAACATAAATCCAGGTTGGACTGTCCCTGATATGGCTACTATAGAAGTTTCTAGTAAGAGTGAAGCTAATGTCAGGGACCCTACACCCCACTACTCTGTTGGCCCAGCCATCTGGACCCTCACCACTTCCATTCTGCTTCCCACTGGGTCCTATATTATTATTCCAAAAGCAGTGGCCCCAGCCATCCACAGCACAGACCTCTAGGGGGATGTGTGTGAAAAATACCGATTATAGGGCCACCTGGCTGGCTCAGTAAGAGTGGGCAACTCTTAATCTTGAGGATCATGAGTTTGAACCCCACGCTGGGTATAAAGATTACTTAAATTTTTTTTTTCAAATACCAAAAAATACAGATCCCAGGGGCACCTCAGCAAATCCCAGGGGCACCTCGAGTTGGTACATCCGACTCTGGGAGTGGGGCCCAGGGATCTGCATTTGACTTCTGTCTCAGGTGATTCTGATGTAACTACATGAGCACTGGTGCTTTGTTCCTTCTTCCTGACCCAGTTTCTCTTCAATCCCTTGCCAACAACGTGCTGGGTATGGGGCATGTAGCGTGGGGTTTCCCATCCCTGACCTCCTTTAAACTCCAAAACATATCAAAAAGCAACTGCTGGAGTGTTGTAATAGAAAAGGAAATTGAGGTCCAGAGGTACGCTCTGGGCCCAAGGACCCAAATGTGGTAAGTCACAGAATAGGGTACTGACCTGAGTGCTTTCCCCTTGCAAATGTGAACTCCCATAGATATGCCAGCCTGGATCCAGGCCTGGGTCCAATTTTGTAATTTCCAGGCAAAAGCTGGTCACTCCAGCTAAACTTCTTGGCCAAAGGCACAGAAAAAAGCAACTAAACACATAAGCAGTTTGTGTGGGGTGGGGGAGGGCCAGCAGTTCAGGGAACAGCCTCGGGGAGGGTTGGCGTTCGGGCCTTGGGGAGGGGTCCGCGGGGGTTTGTGGTTGCACCCAACACAGACCGGCTGTGGGTCAGCAGGACAGGAACTCACTGAACACCACTGCGGAGGCTGCGGGCTCATAGGGGCAGACAACCCAGCCGGGAGCTCTCATGGCCTCAACCCCCTGTGCGGGACACCGACTGGGCAGCCTGTCCTGCTGACGCCCGGACTCGCTCAGTCCCTGCAGGCCTCCGTCCCTGTCCCTGATGACTCCAGAAACTGGATGTGGGCACCACCAGAATGGGTCTGGGTGCCCCTGCCTCCTTGGGTCATGGATTCCTTCAAAGGTCTGTGCAGGGGGCGGGTGTGACTGGTAGGTAGAGCGTCACAGCAAAGCAAGCATGGCACACTGGGGCTCCTCTACTGGAAGCATCACCAGGTGGGGGGCGCACCTGACATGGGAAACCGGCTTTAAACAGGGCAGCCAAGGAAAATGGGAGAGGTCCGAGAAGAGCAGGGCAGGGAAGAGGCAGCCGTTGTTGCGAGCTGTCACGGGCCCCACAGAGCATTAAGTGGTTTGCACCCTCCAGCCTCTACCCCTCCCTACAGGAATGATGCCCGCTCTGCCAACCTGACAGCTCAGGTTCCTGTGGGTGGTGGGCTGCGCTGGTGAGCCCAAGTCCATCAGACTCTGGGGCTCTGACCTCCGGCCCCCAGGTCATCACTCTGTGCTTCCTGTGGCTGAGAGTAGCCCACCAAACCAGGCTGCAAGCTCACCTGTCCCCCGCCTCCTGCAGGCCTCCTGGCTCAGGGGAGGATAATCCCTGGGCCCTGTGAGAGGGGAGCCGGGCCCGTCTTATTGCCCCATTTTATAGATGACAGACCTGAGTACGGTTGGGTGCCTCTCTGGCGCACAGTGCAGTCACGTCCCTTGCCACTGGACTTCTCCCATCTGCCCCACATCCTGGCCGCCTTAAAGACTGCAAGGAGAGCTAGCTGGGAAAACCTCTCCCTCTGATTACATTTGCCCGGCAGAGAGGTAGCCCTGGGGAAGGCTGTGGAGGGGGGTATGGGGGTTCCAGTGGGCCTGGGCAGAACAAAGGTGAAGAAATCTCTAGAATGTATGGTCAGAGCCCTGTTTCCCCACTTGCCTGGAAAAGACGTCCCCAGTTCCCTCAACCTACCCAGAAATGCCCCCTTTCAAGGCCCTCCTGTGACTTACCTGATATTGCAGGGCTTCTCTGGCTGGGCACAAAGCCACAAAGAACACACAGAACATCCCCTCGAAGAGTCCATTTATTATAGGATATTTTATGAGGCATTCGTTATATGCTACATCTTCCCACTCTTCACAATCTTTGCACTCACAGGGTACTCCCTACACCACCCAAGGTGGCTGTCCGTGCTGCAGACATGACAGCTACATTCCTGGCAGCGGGAAGAACAAAAACAATACCTCCCACTGAGTCAGCCTCCTCCAGGAAGCCTGCCTGTTTAGTCAGGTAGCAAGGATTTAGTTGCATAGCCACACGGCTACATGGGGATCTAGGAATTGCAGTCTGTGGGCTGGGCACTCTGCCAGGTAATATTGGGGTTCTGTTAGGAGGGAACAAGGGGAATGTGGATATTGGGTGGGCAATAAGCAGTCTCGGCCAGTCATGTCACACGTGCTAAGATCCAACAAAGGGCCAGCCCAGCATCACCTGGGCCTCTGCTGGTCCTAAGGCAGGCACCACACACATATAGTTGGTTTGGACATTTGGATGTTTGGACATCTAGATCTGGGGCCCCAAGAAGCAATATTCTTCTCCTTAATCATCCCAGGGCCAGCTATCCGGCAACCAGAGACCACCTGTATAGCCCCGAGCCCGCTACAATTATTCAAACTAACCAACCCTAAACTGTTCACCTTGCCCTGTTTTGCCTTTCCCAAGGAAACCCCAATAAAGGTCATGGCCCAAGCACCCTCCCCCCATCTTCTGCCTCCAACCTATCCCAGTGTTTTTCCATGAGGTCCTGAACATCCTTCAAACCTCCTGTCTCTAGGACCTGTGAGCATAAGAAACTCTCCTCTGGGCGACTGGCTGGCTCAATCAGTAGACCATGTGACTCTTGATCTCGGGGTGATGACTTTAAGCCCCACACTGGGTGTAGAGATTACTTAAACCAACTCTCCTGGGGCATCTGGGTGGCTCAGTGGTTGAGTGTCGGCATTTGGCTCAGGTTGTGATCCCGGGGTCTTGGGATCGAGTCCCGCATCAGGATCCCCACGTGGAGTGTGCTTCTCCCTCTGCCTATGTCTCTGCCTCTCTCTGTCTCTCATAAATAAATCTTAAAAAAAAAATAATAGAAAATAAATAAACCACCTCTCCTCTGTGGCCGCACCATCTCATGAAAGAACACGAAGCAGGTCTTCAGAGACAGAGCATCCTCCACGCCGTGTCTCACTTCCATCTTGGTTTTGCTGGGTCACGCTGCGATAACAACCCCAAATCCCGGTGGCTCCTAACACTAAGCTATTTCTCATGCACATAGTATGTCCTTGTAGGTCTGGAGGGCTCTCCACTGCT